CTAGTGATTTGATTTATTTGAGGTTGCTGGTATTTCCTTGTAAGAATATTTCTTGCACCAAATTTACTTACAATAAAGGAGGAGGCCCCCAAGCTCCAGTTTCGATTAAGTACAGTAATATATGATGCGTAGTTTCGGTGCTCCGAAAAATTATGCAATTTGGAACGCGAGTAATGTAATACCTTGTTTGCTCATTTGTTAGTATAATGTTACATCGAATTTTTACTGATGGAAGATGATCATTCTATGTACCTATGTTTCATTATTATGCCAAAACTAAAATTGTGCCGTTTGTTACCTATTTAATTACCGGTAATAGGGCTCATTACAGTAATTATTAAAGATTTAGGAACGAATGTACACTAATTAAATTACGATTCTATAATGTCCACTTGCTCATTTAACTTTCACATTAAAATGCCTTGACCTTGTACGATTAAATAATATTTGATGACAGTAACACTTTCATACATTTCTCGAAAAATCTCTTTTTAAGTCTGTCACAAGGTTTGGCATTAAGCTGGGGCATATTTCCTAACGGTTAATAATCTCTTATTGAAAGTGAAATTTGCTTGCTTACAGATAGTTACTCAATTTCAAGAAAATTTATACTGCGTACATAGCGATTTGTCTATTCATACCCCGGTACCGATCCTTGACCTATTGTCAAATTTTTTCGTGTCGAAAGCGGAATAATCTGCGTTTACAATAAAAGTCCCCTATCTTAATTGGAATCACCCCCATGCTTGGCTTATCTTATAGTGCCGACAATTTTAAAATCGTCAAAATCAGATCCACGCCTTCGAAATAAATAATAAAATTCAACCTCAATTACACGTTGCACTTTATAGCGTGTAATTAATCACGCATGAATTACAATAATAGCGTTTTCGCCCAAGAGGGCATTTCTTGGGCGCGATAAAAATCGAGAAAGTGCGCATATTTTGCTTAAATACCTAACGAAAACAAACCATATAAGTGTGGGTAATTAAGCTTACATAACTTTCGAAGTGTTATTGTAAATTTTTTAGTATTATTATTATTATTGGCAATAAAGCAACATCTAATTGTTGAAATCGAAGTCTTTACATAATTTGGCGTGTGAAACGTGTCACATTGAAGCAAAAATTAATGGTTTACATTTTTCCGGATTTAATGATGACATTCGAAATGTATTAACCCCAGTTTCGACGTCGTATTCGCAAATAACATTTCGGCTCATTCTAGTGTACAGTGCAGATGTCTACAAATTGATTACGATCAACCAGTTCATGCTAGATCGACTGGAAATTGCTTACCCTATGAATAATGTAAAGTAAGCTTTGAGCTTTACATCAATTAGTTTAAGTAAACACGCATGTAACCCAAATTCTAACGTGAACGACAAAGGCATTCGTTTCCTTTCGTTATTGGCCCAATGTTTTCCAAACAAAAAGGTACAGTTCGAATTAACTGTAGGTAGGTACTTAATTATTTAGTCTAAATGTTAATTTTATAATATTGCCAGTTTGTTATTATACTAGTAGTGATGATGAAACATTATATACTCACTTCATTCAGAGCTATTATTTCAAAACGAAGAACCACCGATTGTAGACAAAAAAACAAACATTGCAAATGCACTTCCTTTTTGAGCAGATGGGAAATTTAATGGAAGGTTTAGGTACCTTAGTTTTAGCATTTACACCGGCACCCCCAGCTAACTCCACTTTAAAATTATCAATACAGGTCTCATCGAATAAGAGAGAGAGACATTATTCGAAAGTTTTGAAATTTTAAAAAAACTCACAAATTTAATTTGACACATTTCACGTTTTGATTATTTTTTATTTCTTTCAAATACATACGTCCTACAGTTATATCAAGTAGCCTCAAAAATGACGCCAGAACAATAAATTGTCCAAATTTAGTTATGTCCTGCCACTGCCAGAAATCATTTTGTTAGTTTCTTTTTACTAGGTATTTGCTTTTGTTGTGCGTTAAAATCCTTTAGTTGAAACCTAGAAAATGGTTTATAAGTGGGATACACCTTACGTCACAAAAGTAAAATGTTCTTTTCGTATTGAAAACCGATGCGCGCGTAGAATTGCTCCGCATCCCCATAATATTTTTCTACGTAAGTTTCAGGACGCGTGATCAGCGTGTAATAAAAGTTACACAGTCGAGAATGTTGGATATGTGCCCGATCAATTTTTTTGAAAATCCCATGTCATCAATTCCAACGGTCCGAAAACTTCCTAATGTATCACCGGGTTAGTTAGTGTGTATTAATAAAATTGGACGAAGACAATTACGATAGGAAAATTTACTTCTGCAAATTAATGTATAAAGAATGTATACGTTTATTGAGCTACACAATGTCACATTTCTATGACGTTTGGAGAAAACTCATTAGAAACGGTCACGTATAACCCATTAATTCTAGATTATCTCCCGTCAGACGCTACTAACCTTTTCGGTCAGCACCGTATCCGGAAACCATTGACCCAAAAACCAACAGAACCACCAAATTTTGTTAAATCTACCCTGTAATGCACAATCTCCCTTGCATCGAAAAAAATTAGCATTCTCTTCACATTGGGGAGATTGTTTGATGCGGTGCGAGGATGGCGTCTTCCACTGGCTTGATTGCACCAAGACACATCTTCAGGAACATTCTGGATCGATTTCGATCGAGTTCTTTTGTGGTAAGGCATGTTTCGCTGAACCAAGCCACATCTCCCTCCAGACAACTTTTCGAGTTCCTCAATCGTTCGCCGTCGATCTTCACGCACGAACTGGTTGGGATGCCACTTCCGAATCAAAAAAGATGTGGTAGTTTTTCCCTAATATGAATTGAGGGGAGAGTCCGATAGTCCTTCTAAGATAGGCAATCGAATCGCCTCGTACAGAATACGAGAGTAACCCACCGCAGTACCTCTACTATTCAACAACTCCTTAGTTTTAAGACGCAAGGATGGCAGTATGATCCGCTCTCTCACGTAGACATCTAGTGGAAGCAGATCCAGAAAGGCTTCTACGACGGCTGTGGGAGTTGTTCGTATCGCACCCGTGCAAGCAAGGCACTCTAATCGTTGCACATGATTAAGAAGTGCTCATGATAATCGATTTTGGTTCTAGGCCACCAGACAATTGCTCCATAACACAACAAGGGTCTAATCACGGTACGGGGCAGCCTTCGAGGATGGTCCCCTCATTGCGCGGCGACGGCGCTTTTCTGTTGATCTTCCTGGGAAGTATGCCTTTTGATTAGGGTGCAGCGGAAACCGTGTTAGTGCCGTATCCCTTATGTCCCTTATCGCACAATTTTTCATGTGCCTTACGGCGAAAAGAGATCGTACTAATTGCACGACATGTCTTTGCCAGGTTCGGAGATGAATCTCCCTCTTATTATATATCTGAAAGGAATACAGCATTCTCACTTCTAGATAACAAAACCGCCCAGTCCCCATTGCAGGAGAACTATTTCACCACCCAGGTTACCCTGGTTATCCGCCATCTGATTTGCAACCGCCCAATCATTCTCCGTGGGAGTGAAGGGGGTTTCCTCTGGCCAGTTGAGTTATGGCTCCGTTAAAATGAGCGTCTCTCAGTATCTCAGCTGTCTCCGAGAGGTTGTCCATATAGGAACCATCCTCTCTTCTGAGGCTAGCCGAGTTGTAATATGCATCCTTTGCTAGGAATGCAGAGGAGGTGAATTGTATAGAGCTGGAAAAGCTCTGCCATGCCTCTCTCTGACGCCTCCTGCCATCCTTCTTAGAGTTACTTTGTAAGCCTCCCAGTCAACAGTAACTTTGCTCTTCTTTGTCTTACTAAACTGTTTGTCCAACTGAGTTTTCTACTTTTCGAGCGCCCTGCACCACCAAGGATGGTTATAGTGTGTCTTAATAGTTCTTAGAATACGTGCGAAAACTCCACATTGGAGTTGGAGAGACCTACTTCGCCCTGTAAGTCAGTAGGGCTTGGGAGGCGTCCCCTACGGCACCCTCTAAGATTTTTTCCAAGGATATGTTTGTAAAGGAAGATATCCGCTATCTTGAAGTTATGATAGCTCTTTTGGACGGCTCCTTTGCAGTTAATTTCAAATGAAATTATTCTATGATCTGGCATAGTCGCTTCTGGAGTGGATTGCCAGTTCGTTATGTAGTGAAAGATTCTGGATAATGCCACACTGAGATCAACCACAGTCTGGCTTCGGGTAGTTACGAATGTCCAGGAATTCTGCGCTTCCAAGCGGCGCCTTATCACCTCCAAGTCATCAGATTCCCACGGGAACCAAATTGCACCCTCGCGGAGCTTAGGAAGGCAGTCTGCCTACTGCCACCACTCAAGGGAATGGTTGTCCCGCACGAGATTATTCGAATCTCGCCCGATTATCTCCAGCCCCTGAACGTGGATGTTAGAGTAGCGTCTTTTAGGTTAAATAGATGCTGATCCCCTTTGGCAAGGTTTTTGTACCATTTCCGCCTTGTTAGCCGTGCTCTCTTATTTATACGGATTTTACGGTGTACATTGGATGAGCGCTATAGCCTTCATACATTCTGAGATGTATCAGCATTCGACTTGCTTTTTAAATTTAAAATACGCTTTCCATGCATGCATTTTGGCATTGCAATTAAATTACCTTTGAAGAATTTTTCTAATTAACTCAAATACTTGAGTACTAATGAAAGTAAGCAATTTACATATTAATTATAACATTCACCTCCTCAGTGAATACTGGAGGTATCTTATATAATAAATTCTGTTTTTCAGATATTTTTCACAAATGTCAGCGGTAGTAACAAAGCTCATTGTGAATCTGTGAGCAATAATCACAGTCGTTCGTCATTTGGAACAACGGACCAGATCGTTAGGATCCTTTTAAGTTCATTCACTGAAAAATCGAACGAACCTTGTCCAGCAAGATTTTAATTATAATACCTACAAAAGATCCGTATGCATTTCGCACAGATCATTAAGTCCGAACGTAGTTGGGCTGGGGATAGTGGTTTACATATTGCAAAACGATTACTGCAGTTTGCAATATCCGTAGGTGCTCTCCACCAGAACCGACATTTGGAGGTATATGCGTGCGGTATAATTAGTGTGGGGAAATTACGCGCGGGAAACTTTTTTAATACTAATTTCGACAAATTGTTTGTTTTCTTTCAATCAGTTAAAAGTGAATAATGGTACCCGTTTTACTTTGTATAATACTTTCGCTAGTGCAAAGAGGAACGCTATAATAGAGAGTGAAACAATAACATTATGTTAAATTGTCTTCGACCGCGAGTTATCTGTTAATTGTCAAGTTCTCCGGCAGTTTTCTTTCAGCTTTCAATACTAGCGGTCTTGCCTATCGTTCAGACGCAGGTTTTTCAGTGAACGTTAGATCTTTGCCTTTGTTATTCGGTAACGCATGGTAGTTTGGGAGAATTTTTAACTTTGTGCGGCTTAAATTTGTATACAAATTTTTGTTAAGCTTCATTAAAGGTGAGTTACTTCCACACGCCAGTCTCCTTTTATGCAGTTTATTTACCTAAATCAATTGCAATTGCAATGTGCTAGTTTACAAACCTGTTTATAGTAGGTTGCATTATTGCATCTCAAAAGTATTCAGTGATATTTCACTTTAAAAAAATCATAGGCACGGTTATAATTTCTTTTCTTTTTCTTTCACATTTATGTTTATCCGGAAATTTGCAACTTTCTTTCACTGAAAAGCTTCGCGAATTTTAAAAGTGCATTTTTTATAGGATCGCAGCAGCATGTCTGGTTTGGATTACATTTTAGATGGTTATAGGCACTTTATGGAAACAAAGAGTGGTGAGTTTTATTACCTAGTTTGATTTTTTCTTACAGCATTATTAAAGATAATTGACAGTGGTGCTGTAAAATTGAACTTTCTTTCCGAAAACGTAATAATGAGTTATGAGCAAATTGTAAAAAGTTTTATTGTGTGTATGCAATCATCTCGAATGCATGGTATACACACTATTGGTAATCACTCACTGAACGACCTTGTGCAGCTCAAGAATGGTATTGATATTTTAACGAAATTATGAAAACGCAAGATGTACAAATTAATAGACCCAGATTTTGAGAATAACCAGACGCACTTACCTACTTTTTAGAATGCACCATTTCGCTACCTTTGTTCGACGTACCTACTCTTTTGTTTTGCAACTTTTCCTACGTCCTCGCAAACCCAGAGAAATTATGTATCAATGAAGATTTTTTTCGCCCTTGATTTGCAATCGGGAGAGTGCAGACTTTCAACCGGCTATAAAATAGACCGAAAGATTTGCCTCTGGTTTAATTACGTAAGACAATGGAAGCATTTTTCTAATTACATTATTATGTGCACTTTCAAACTAATAATTATTTCTCTATTATGCGTGAAATAATTTTCATTTAATTATGTTGCTATTAAATCTTAACCTACTAATTATGTCCAGTATTTTAAAATTTCCCAGTATAATGCAACTATTATAAATTGTAGTTTGTAATGTTTGGATAGGGAAAAAAGAGGTATTGCAATAAATAAATTGCTTTTATTAGCCGATTGGCATTATAAATAATTCACATAACGATTCTTTAAAAGTTTCTTTTCGTATGTAGCCTGGTTGATCTTCGTGGTTGTACTCAACTTCCAGACATGCTCGGCGATATCAAAGAAATTTGCGTTGAAAGAAAATATTTGGCATCTCTTTATTTTTCTGATTTAGTAATTTCAATGTCGAGATGAATTATGCATTTCTCCCACCTAAAATGGTATAAGGAATGTCATTATTCTTATTTTTAATTGAATCGAATACTTGGTTGGTCTAAAGTCTAAACGGTTAAGTGTGCCGAATCAAAAAAAGCATTATCACATACAGTGGATTTTTTTTACGAACTTAATTAGTTGCACTGATTGTGAACTTCATTTCGTACTAGTTTTTTGAGATGGTTACCGCAGTTAGAAAGTTGTTGATTTTTTCAAATATTTGCTGTTTCTAGAGACCCCTATAAATAATGCCCGGATACGCTCAGGGGTGGCACTACAAGGGTGCAGTGGAGTGAAAAATTAACTGCCGAGAAACTACTCGGAAATCGATAGGTACTCGGGAGTTTTTGTGTAAAAAAAAATTTTCTCAATTGACCTTCCCCGTATCGCCACCGCTGGGCATCTCGGAGGAATGTCTGCGACCGCGAAAACCCCTGAGTAACGATTTTAAAGCAATTTCTCAGCACGGTTAATTTTTCACTCCACTACACCCCGTAGTACTACCCCTAAACATTACCGTGCAATTTCAATGGCAGATATGAACTTGGCGACCGCACAAACCCCCCCCGAGTAACGATGTCGGATAAATTTTTCGGCACTGTTCAGTTTTCGCCCCCACTGAACCCCCGGCATCCCGGAATGCCGCTCCTAAGCATCCCCGATTTGGTAGAGATCGGAATATTATTTTCTCGCACCCTTGTTTAGGTGTACACCATCTTGTGATATGATCCTTTTTTTCAAAATTGAAACAGACCGGAAACCCTAGGTAAAGGTCATTAGTTCCGTCCGTCTACGTGGTATGGTTGCTGATGAAAAGTAAATTACTTAAAGCAGAAACGCCAATCTTGGTGGTTTTTGGTTATGAATTTTCAATGTACCATTGGATTCTTTGTACAATACGTTCGCATGGGTCTTCTTTACCCCTTGAATTTTTTGACATGCTTAATGTTAACCCTGTATCTCAAGAATTAACGTGTTTAAGATAAAAAACCGAAATTAAATTAATATTCACTACATAAAAACTAGAAATTAATACAGCTACCATAAAGAATGTGACTAAAAAATGAACTTCTTCTTTAATATTTTCTTAGGAACCACGACAAGTCGAAGGAATCAACTTAGGGCTTTGCCTAGGTTTTGTGCCTCCTCTGTTTATGTAAATATATTTTCAAAATTCGTACCCCAGGATGATGCATCCCTAAGCAATGGGACGAAAAAAAATCTGACCGAGACGATATTTGGTGCCTTTGGGGGTTTTCAACATAAAAATAACAGATCCAAAAAAATCATTCAAAAAATATCAACTGCAATTCTTGGTCGCACTCCAAAAATGGACAGAATTTCATGTTTTTGTGAGTGTGCACTTTTTACGTACTTAGCGAGGTACTTAGGCACAAAACTGTCAACATCCTCACCTCATTTCGCCAAAAAGTATTATTCTTATGGCGTGTATTTTGTGCATCAGAATATCTAGAAATCTATCGACCACGTTGTTGTGGTGCCAAATATTTCAGTTGAAAATCATTTTTTAAATTTTTCAAAAATTTGGGTTTGGGTATTTGCACGTTCAAAGGTAGGTACTGGGATACCAAATTTCGTTGAAATTGGAATTTTGGCACATCCCCGATTAGGGTTTCGCTACATTCTATCGTTGTTTTGGGGAAATCATTTGCAAAATCAAAAAGGATATGCCAAAAAATCGACACAAATCTGCTAATTCTATTTTCGTATTTGCTGTGAATGCTGTGCAAGGAAATAAAAAGAAATGCAAAATTTGGACGTTTTGGACCTGCAACTTATTTTTGGAGAGAAATGTTTAATTTAATCCTCCTTATCGCCCAATTTTTTGACGGTACGCCGCAAAAAGAAACGAATTCGGTTTTGGTAACGCCCAAAAAATAACTAAGACAGAAAATGTTGAAATGTTTTTTGCGTTTTTTCTTTAATTTTTTTCCGTAACTAACGCATAGAAGGGGTTTCACCTCATAGTACGGGAGGTAGCGTCCTATTTTTACGGGCCATTTTCGCACAATTAGGTACTTGAATTACCTGAACCTTAGTTTTCAAAAATTTAAAAAAAAGTTGCAACCTACAATTCTTGATATGACAACGAAAGGTTCAAAACTATTCCACCGCAAGACACAATCCATAGAAAAATCCAAATACCAAATATTTTTCGCTTTGGGGAGCACCATCTCGGAGTAGGTAGTTTGGATAAATTTTCTGGGCGAAAATGATATTCCCATAAAGAAACAACGCAGATTTTGGGAGTTTTGTCGAACATTTTGGACCCTCAATTTGGAAAAAATATTTATTTGGTCCCCTCCACCGCATAAATCTAAATCATTCTGCGTTTGTGTTTCTATACGAGGCAATGATTTTACCTAGGCTAGGCTGTATTTATACATTTAAAAATACAGCACTTCATGAGCAGAGAACAAAAAGAATAATCTCGGCATTCAACATTTCTTACAATTTTTGTTGTCTTGATTTGTTTATAGAAATAACTACTTAGTTTTCGGGGAAAAAAGCTTACCTAAAAGGTTAGAAATTCTTAGCCTCAGCAAGCACTTCGAATTTCTTAGTTTATAACATTTCGGTAAATGTCAAATATGTCGGACAATTGTTATAATGTCTTAGAAAATGCTTGGGATTCAATGCTTTTGTTTATGTTATTAAATTTCTGCCAATTTTCTGGATGGATTTTTCTAAAATTTATTCCTAGAATCCTGAGGCGCTTTTAGAATTCCTGAGGAGTTCAAAAAATTTTTTATAAAATCTCGGACACTGGTAAAAAGGAATTCATACGATATTTATTACAGTTCGTAGGTTAAGGAAGTGCAAATCTGCGGAAGTTGTCTTACAATTTAAAAAGAAACTACCTGGTTCTTTCCATAATGATTAAAAAATCTCTAGAAAGTCTCGGGAAGACACCAGTAATTTTAATAAATTTTTGATATGCATAGGGTGTACTTAGTGATTTTTGCAATTTCTATTTTTTTAGGTAATTTTTAAATTTTATTATAAGAATTTTGAGAGCGCTCAGAAATCTTTTTAGAAATCCTTGAACTTAGAAATTCTTTAAAAAGCTTTGAAAAACATCGAGAAACCCTAAAAAATTCTCATTTTTTTCACGAATTTAAGGATTTTGACAATTTTTATTGGCAACTCAGCAGAGAAAATTCTCGGTCCGGTTCCGTAGTTTTCGTTCAGATGTTTCTAAAATACATTTGGGAACCTAAAGTATCTGGAAAATAACTTGGGAATTCTAAATAAAACTTGGGGATTCTTAGGATTTTTATTACAAATGGTTAAAGCTCTCTTCGAATTCGCTTAAAAAGTTTTCAACAGTCAAAACACGTATTCAGTAGCCCCATGGAATTTTTTGAAAGGATTTTCATGAATTCTCTGGGAGTAGACATACATTACAAAGTTTCTAACAATCTACAAATATCAAATACAAATTCGAATAAATTTCAATAAACATAGAGAACAAGTACCTATAAATTGTGTACAACTCTTGTGCCGATGAAGCGCATTTTTTTGAACCGAAGTACCTTAGTAAATAGTTGTTTACTTTCTCGGTAGATTATTAATTGGGGAGGGAGCTCTTTACACATAAACATGTACAGATTGCCTGCCATGCATTCAAAATCTAGGCTATGTAATGCAAGAAGAACCACGTCCTTAGAGAAATTCTCCAGTTTCCCTTTGTAGATACCTTCCTCCAACAGTTGCGAGATATTCACAATTACGTTTTTAAATCGCCAGCAGATGTGTCTCCTATAGACGACCATACCGCCCTTTGAGGGTACCCTTCTCTGATACTCAGTATTTGCAATGAAAGTTTTGATAAGGGACCAGGAAAAAGGGCGGTAGTTGGTAGAAAACATTTCCTTTTGTTGAGACCTTTAATTATAATACCATGAAAGGTAAAATTAATTTATGCACCACCTCGCAGGCACGCACCCACCCTGATTACCCCCTGATCTCGAAAAGGAGTCTGTACAAACCAATTCATTTCGATGAGATTCACCACCACTAAAGGCATGCGCATACAAAATCTGAAACTAATTGGTTGTGTCATGTAAAAGTTAATTTTTACTTGCAAAAACCGCTACTTAGGAAATAATTCATACCCCCTCCCCTTTTATTAAATTTTGAAACGTCTACGTCCTAGATTAATAGTACGGATATCTGTCAAGAACCACTGCTATAACCTGACGAAGGGACTATGCCAACTGCACTGTGTTACTGAAGATGCACTAAACGGTTTTCGCTCTAGAGGGAGAGCCAACTTCGCATGTGAGAACATCGGATAGACACTGTTTATGACAACCGCAGATCTTCCCAGTGGATTCCACCAAGTTAGTATAGACGGACCTGATTGAGATAAAACTGCTTTTGTTACCCCTTATGGAATTTATCATTACTTAACTATGCTATTCCCTCTCCTAAATGTTCCGGCAACTCTTTTGAGGCTCATCGACTGGTTTAGGAGTGATCTTAAAATGTACTAGTTCTAGCTTTCCTCGTTGACTTGATACTTCTGTCCGAAACATTTGACATTTGTGTAATTTAAACTACGCGCGAACCGGAATAAGTATGCTGGCCGTCTGGTACATCTTCAAGGTATAGGTCACGAATTACAAAAACTTTCAGGACTCTAGGGCCATTCCCCTAAAAATAATTCAACACGGCAGAAGTGGGTCGGGACAAACGGACAAAACGCTAACAATAGCACATTTCTTTTAATTCTTAAAAATGATAATTCAATCGGATTGATTGAAATTACCACAGAAAAATTTAACGACTCGGTTAGTCTGGTTGAATCATTATAAAGCCCTAACCGTGCGAAGAGAGCAATTTGGGACGACGCGACGTCTGGCGTCTGACTGAGAATAATGAACTAATTCAGGAAATATTTCGAAAACTCTATTGCCAGAACGTCACTCCATTGATCACATAACACTCCCAAAATTCAGAAAAAAAATAGAGTTTAACTCCCAAACAAAACATTTTGCAAATAAAAAAAATAGGTTTGATCTGCCCTATTTATAATTTGTTTACACTCTGTATAAGAGGACTACTGTTTATCGTTAATAATCGATTTGGAAAATAACTTCTAATAGTCGTTTTTCCCACCATACTATTTCTTTCTGCTTTTTACAATTACCATTCATTATTAAAAGATCGTAAACGTACGTTTTCTGCTTACATTTAGTTTAGCATTATTCATAAAGGCCTATGACCGATGAGCACAGAATTTTCATATCAGGTTTAGATTTATTATACCATTTTTTTAAATAAATGGCAAGGTAATGCGTGTACGATTGTCAAAGTTTGTTCACTTTTAAATTATGCAATTTCCGTATTGGTTCACCTATTCTCTTCCCTTTAACATAATAGTTAATTATGGTAGCTTACGATCTTCAAGGATCTTCCTGGGATTAGAACACATCCCGCAGTCGGCGCCTAAATGTTACCTTCGTTATATAAAGTATCATTTAAAATGATTAATTTGACCAAAAATTATGTTCTCGTTTGACTACACTTAAAATTGTTAACATGCAGAAATACTCAATTTCGAATTAGGAAACCTCTATTTCGAAATAACTTCCCACGTAAATTGTGTTTGTTTAGTAACATAAAATTGGGCCATTGGAAATTACTTACATTAACACTTAAGAAGACCTCATTAAAAATACCAAATATTAAATGGTACCTGTCAGATGTGGTGCAAAGGTTCTCTTGCAATCAACTGATTCATTCTCCGTTCACCTAAAATCACAATGCAAACTGGAGATTCAGTGCCTTATGTCAGTAGGTATATATTTCGAAGCATGTACCATTTGAATATATAAAAGTAGGTACACCTTTACTTTTCGCATTATTTCAACAACGTTGTAATCTCTCTTACACAACATTATTAATTATGTGGTGATGTCTTCCGAAGGTTTCTGCGTGTGATCAATCTCATACTTTTAAATTCATTAACAAGGGTAATTTTATCTAATTGAGCAATTAGCAATGATTCGTGCGATATGGACCCTGAAAATCCACTGCGTATATGCGTATCCTAAAATGATTTTCACGACGTACAAGAACGCGATTCTCAGGAAGATATCACAAGGTCTAATCGATTCTAATTACAAGGACGGTGACAATGAATTATTTTTTCTAGATTCATTAACATGTTGTATCTGTTTCAGATCCTCGAACATCTGAATGGCTACTGGTAGGATCGCCTGGTCCACTGATTACAATACTAGTCACCTACCTGTATTTTTGCATATCTGCCGGCCCGAGGTACATGAAAGATAGGAAGCCGTACGATTTACGGAACGCCATTTTGGTCTACAATGCGATTCAAGTCGTCATGAGCGTATTTCTGGTTTATGAGGTACAAAGACGTCTTTGTCATTTGCATTTTTTATAATTATTTCATTGTCATTTACACTTGCGTCAACAATCGTTTTTGACATTAGTCTGTTAACCGAAATAGGGCCTGCAAGGAGGATGGTTCAACGGGTATAGCTTCACCTGTCAACCTGTGGATTATTCATCAAAACCTCAGGCAATGAGAGTAAGTCTACGGTAATTGTTGCGATTGAAAATTCAGCCCCATTCGTTACAGATGGCAAAAGCAGTGTGGTGGTACTACATTTGCAAAATTACGGAATTGTTGGACACCGTCTTCTTTGTTTTAAGAAAAAAGTCGAACCAAGTATCCTTCTTGCATCTCTACCACCACTCCATGATGCCAGTATGCGCTTGGATAGGGGCACGATTCCTACCTGGTAAGACAGACTTCTCTCATTTTCCGCCCCTAATACTTATTGATTTTTCTCTAGGGGGCCATGGAACATTGTTGGGATTCATAAATTCCTTCATTCATATTGCGATGTACAGCTATTACCTTCTCGCATCACTAGGACCACAGTACCAAAAATACTTATGGTGGAAAAAACATTTAACACGATTGCAACTGGTAATTATCATAATCAATGTAAGGCAATTGGATAAAATAACATAATTGTTTTAGGCTCAATTCTGCATAATTTTCATTCATAACTTCCAAATGATATTCCGTCAGTGCAACTACCCCCAATTTATAGTATTCCTCCTTGGCACGCAAGCGCTGTTCTTCTTATACCTGTTTGGAGCATTCTACAAGAAAACTTACACGAAGAAGAAGCAAACGCAAGAAGCAGTAACCGTAAACAATAACACCAAAAATGGAAAATTAAAGGATATGTAACCTACATATAATATTAGACACAATTTCGGCTGTTATTCAATTTTTGTTTTTAAATATAGATCTTGCATTTTTATAAAGTGCGATTATAAAATATTAAAGATTTCGAATATGAGTGTTGCAAATATTCTGATGACCCATTCGTAGAAGATCGCGCTGCGAAGGTGAAATGAAATCAAGCACAGTACCTTATCTTGTATATACTATATATGTTCATTTTAATTAGTTATTGTTATTTATGATACTATCCAATAAGAAATAAATTATTATCGATATTTCCGGCGTGGGTCGCTAATTTCATTTCGTATACCTAAGTACCTGTTTTCCCTTGCAAAATGTCATTGTCGTTGCAAGGAAATTATGCTTTGAGAAATGATATACCTATGCATTCACTTGTAGAAATTGTGGCACAACGTAGGAAGTAATAGTAAGGAATCATTCAATAAGTATTATCTTTAGCGTAATTACTATATTTGGAAATATCGTTCACGTTAGCATAATATACTTGCGCGCTGTCATCATTTTTAATGGATTCACTTTTTAGTCATAACAGACACTAAAAGCTAATGGTATTAAATTTTTGGAACTGTAATTCATTTATTATTATTAAAGTGAGAAACAAATTTATAAAACTATCAAAATATCACATACATTCGATTGTGCCTAGTTTGCAGTAGAGGCATGGTACGGACGAAACGCTGTGGTACCCTGATGTAAATTTTTGATAAAATATCAGCAGAGTTTAGATGACATTCAGTAATTTATACCGGAAAGTCAATGCTAGAAATATCCTTCTTTGTTTAAGAGTTTTAATATAGAGGAATATTCCAACATGTTCTGTCGAATCTATATTTATCCCATTTAATGATAGTTAACACTTCATCAGGTGCAAAAAACTCGATTGAATACGGAATACGGATCTTACAAGCGAAAAGTATAGTGTCCTTAGAGCTGTTATACTACGGAAATCATTACAGTGGCATTTAAGAAGTCCAAGCATTTTACTTGCTTTCGATGTCACTTTCCTTAATGGAGATGAAAATTTAATTTCTTGTCCAGTATGGTGCCTAAGACTCTGATGGAGTCGACAGTATCTAATAACTGATCACCAAGGTGGTAATTCGGCTCAGGACTGTATTCTTTTGAAAAGCAAATCGTGTAACATTTATTCACATTAACCTGCAAGTCGTTGTTTAACACCCAGAGCTCTAATTGTACCAAGTCTTGTTGTAGTATTGCAGTGTCTTTGATACCAATAGCCCTGTAAATCTTGAAATCGTCGGCGAAAAGCGCATGTTCAGATAGCAGTACTGATGATATACCGATCGTTAATGAAAGCCAGGAACAGTGGAGCACCAAGATGAGAGCCTTGTGGTACTGCTCATCTTATTACGAAGGAATTTGACCAGATATCTTCAATGAGGACCTGTGCTGTACGGCTACTCAAGTAATTGTAAATCCATTTAAACGCAGCTTCCCCCTACGCCATACTACCTTAATTTGAAGATCAATAATTTTGGGTTAACTCTGTCAGAGGCTTTCGTAATATCGGTATAAATCGAATGTACATCATTGCCTTTTCCCAGGGAAACAAAGATAGAAGAACCCAATGGTTATCGTAGTTTGGTGACGTTTGTTCATGTTGGTCTTCCGGACGTATCGTAAAAGAATAGCAAGGAGCCTGAGCCTCAAACCGAATGATTTTAGTTTGTTTACACGGATGCAATGCATTTGGTAGTGTGACCAATGAAATTGAGGGTACTGACATAAAACTGACAGACCTTAATATTAAGCCCAAGGCAAGCCAAATGTTACGGTAGCTCTAAATTTGCATTTAATTTTTTTCCAAAAGTGTTTGTGAAGTTAGAAACTTTGGGATTTCTAAGAGAACAATTTGAGCTTTGCATATCATACAAATTTCACAGAGTATCAAAATGTAGCGGGTTGAATTGATTCTTCAAATAAATGATTTTCTTGTTGGAAATTCAAAGAATAAATTTGTAAATCGCGGTGCAAATATGGTTACGTTTTTTGCGTCATTTAATTGAATAGAGCATTGCTTCTCAATAAGTTTCGGCAACCTCTCGAGCCGAGCTGTTTGGCATTTGTATCATATTTCGTCTCCTTAATTAGCGGTATTGGGTTACACTTGGCAGCTCAGCATTAGGGCATTCTCTTGATCAGGATAAAGATTAGTCAGCAAGATTTCGATAGTTGGCCCGACCTTTTTTCTGTCTTCATGAATTCAACATTAAAAACATGGCGAACTTAGTCATTACACATGATATTACAAAGGGGCAGTACTTAGTAAATATAATAATGGGAATCAACTTGAGGGAGCTTTTGGGATGAATCGATGTAGTCTCAAAATTAGAGCTGTTAATTAATTGTGGTCTTTTTCGATAATATTGCGAGCTATTAAAATTTGGTTTGTACCAAATTCGATTTTTGGATAAGCGTTACAACCGGTATTTGTTTTTGGAACATTAAATGTAACAACCGGTACCTAAATAAATTCTAATGTGTCGGTATTATACACGCAGGAATCACGAAAATTACATAAAAGGACGTAATAGACAGTTGACGTCGCATAAGAATCGTTTATACAGGGCCGTATTTGATCCAGAATAATTTAAGTAGGCGTGTTATCACAAAGAAACATAATTAAAACTGCTGTGTAAATGTTTACTTCAGTGAACCTAAAGAAGGGATTGAATTCTAGCTGTTCTTAGCCGTAAAATCATCATAACTGACGCATTAGACAAAATTCAATAGAGACCATTAAAGTGAAAATTTTTACGCAGTGAGCTCTCCTACTTGAGATAATCCCCAACCAAGCGTTTTTGGTCAAACTCGTTAACCCTAAAGAGTTGTATGTATTAATAAAATGGTGGTTTGCTTGTAACCCTTAGAATACAAGGATACACCGGAAAAGACAGCGTGGCCAGAAATTTTTGCATAATTTGTTCAATGTGCACGATCCGTCACCTATCTTTCCTAACTCGTTATCACTGAAGGTGGAGTGTATCCCAACCAATTGTGTATCAACAGTTTCCCCTGCAAATCTTAATTTCTGCACTCGTATCATAGAAATTTTGTGAACTTATCATTTTTGAGCGTTTTGTAATGGGTATATAATCGCACAGGGCCTGCTCAAGGCAAAACTTACATGTAAGCGAGCACTAAAATTTGCGCCTCTCTAATGGGAACTTTTGACAAGCATGTTTATTAAAAATACAGGGTGTTAATTAATGTCATGCATATATTTCAGGGGTTGATAGCACTCGTCAAAATAAGAAAAAATGCAAATATGTGCGTGGTGTAAAGGGTGTCATTTTCGTTATACTGGGTGACAAAGTTACATTTTTTCTCTCGTATTTTGCGTTGTCCCTCTTGTGTTCTGGGATAATTATTTCAAGTTTGATACATCAATTATTTTTTAGAATCTTTACCATCTCTACAATACCAAAATAGTTAGTCGCAGTTTACAGGGTGTTGCATTTTCTTTGCCACCCTGTATAACGAAAACGACGCCTTTTAGACCATGCATATAGCTGCATTTTTTTCTTATTTTGACGAGTACTGTCACCCTTTGAAATATCTGCATGGCATTGATTAACAGCATGTATAAAGGTTCATATTTAAAACATTTCTTACTAGCAGACCTGACGAACTTCGTACCGCCTATCACTCAATGTCCCGCCAATTCCAATTCAGCGGAGTTGAACGTTAGGTTATTTTAGCTTTAAATTGTGTTCTCGCATTTTTTTTGAAAAACAAAGTTGTACAAAAATGCTACAGAGTTTTCCGAAGGGATGACGCGTCTGCAAATATGCCTCCCGCGTACGGATTTTTACGTCCGTGATCCGTCAGTCATTAAACCTGTGTAATTTTTGCGCCCCTTCCTGTCTGCGACGTAAGCGGCGGATTACACCGCTTAAGCCTAAAGCCGGCTCTGTAAATCGCAAATGGAAATCTTGTAACAGACTGCAACAGGTAACCAAACAGTAGCTACTTTTCGGATTGGGGGCAATTCATTCATTTACAGTCTCTAACCTAACGTTGATGGTTTCTCCAAATAAATACTGATTATAGGAGTGGAGTTGGAGAATTATAAGAATATGGGTAATTCGAAAACGATAAGAGCACATTTTCAGAATACGTCAAAAATAGCACATTAGAACACAATCAGAAACTGAATATAGTGTAGTGATCCCAGTACTTCAACTACACGAAATTATGCAGCTAGCAGCTTCTCCTTCTTTTTAAAATGTTACGTTGCATAATTTGCTTCAACACAAGCTTTCTAATTTTTCCAATCATCAAATAGTGAGGCTGTGTCTTTTAAGTAACTTCATCTTGTTGGATGGTTCACCGGTATACCTGGAGGAAGACAATTATAGTTATTTAGTTTAATAGTGGACAAGTTGTAACGAATGTTTTAATTCATACACAAGGTTTTTCTGGACCACAACGATACAATAAATAGAAGTGGAACATGAGTGGTAATGGCCAGGTACGAATTAAAAAGCGACACTGAAATATGAATACAAACTAATTAGTCTTCCTATCAACGTTGTTGCTTGGATTCCTATTCTCCTTGATTATGTAAGCCTTTATGTAAAAATTTGAAAACAGTATCAACATTAATGCATTTTGGGGTAACAAGCTGTATACGATCCACCTGGGATAATCGCATGTCGGTTGAAACAGCACCAGCATAAGGTGAACGGTTACTACTAAAAATTGTACCTGAAAATGGATCTACTTAGATACTATCCATCAGACATTTTGTTGCTTACAATTTGCAATTGCGTTATATGTTTCTTCCACCAGATGTTGTCCTTATATTTCTTGTCCCAAGCTGTTAATAAATAATAGAAGTACATAATAACGTGCACAGTGGTATTAATCAGTCCCAATAAACAGCCATGTCCTCCTGCTACATATTTAGTTCCCATCCATCCAAGTAAACACATTCCTGCATGGTGGTATACGTGTAAAAATGTAACCTGACTGTATTTCTTTCGCAGTACAAAAAATACCTGAAATTCGTGGTTACTAAATTCCAAATAAACCCACGTAAAGAATTACGTACGGTGTCAAGTAAATCGATTATCTTCATCATAAAATAAGACCAAACCATATTGACGGAAGTTAGACCAAGCTCGGATTTTGAGTAGTCAATTGGCTGGCATAACAAGTTGTGCTTCCAAAGGACAGTTGTGGCGTTCTAAAATTTGATGTGTAAATACGCAAGTCTTATGATCAACCCTATTACCCTGTACAGCAACCAAATACACAGAATTATTTGTATCGCATTATAAATGACTAGAATTCTGTTGATTTTAAACGGACGTCGATTTTTCATTAACTTTGGTCCTAACTTGAAGACAAAATACATATAAAATACTAGTATTGCGATAACGGGAAACGGGGATTTCATAAACAAAAAGTTTTCTACCCTTGGATCTAAAAAAAAGTGTTACTGCTTTATCGTTAACACAGAAATATGCACCAGCCCAATCCTCGAAAGCTATCCGATAGTATTTCGCTAACGAGCTGAACATTCTCACAAGTGAACTGCTTTCTGTCGAACTATTAACTAAACTGTGGAAGTTTTGTAATACGATACTTATTTACATACAATATTTGGATGTATAATTGACAAACGGCAAGTCACTGTACCTATCCGAAACGTGCACGACAATTTCCGCTTGTTATTTTTGAATTAGCCCAAAATATTTAAGAATTCTTAAAATATTTGCGATTGTGTCATTACCCACTTTCTACCTTAATTTAGTACGTGACCTACTAATTCCCAAAAAAGAAATTTTTTAATGATCAACGGTACATGACGTCGTGAATAGCAGGTACTGTTTGAAATAATCAAAGTTTAATGAATATTTTCCTTTTTGCGATTTTCTATTATCTACGATTGGTTTAATTATTTTCTCTATAGCAACATAATTCTTGATGACTTTTGTATAGTGTGTCTGAAGATCACTGTTCAAGATGATTAATATTGGGTGATTATTCTAATACAGGATCGCAAAAATGTACTCCTGTATGGTACCGTATGCAATGCATAGCAGACAACTTTAAACATTCATCGGACTAACAAATTATAGCAGTCATTCACACTGTATTCAAGCTAGTCATCATAGGCGTCGTCGTCAGGAAAATAATATAAACGAAGGTTTATTCTTGCCAGTGTGATGGTGAGATATATTTAGTGCAAAAGCAGATGGAACGTAGACCTCGGTAATCCCGTTTGTTTTTGAGCAGACTACTTTGGTAGGTACCTCTGGATCGATTTATTGGAAACTTTAACTATAAATCCTTTCGTAAAAGTAAATTGAATGCACTTGTCATAAATTGTTGAAAACCTTTTGGAACACGCCTACCACAAATTTCGTCGTCTAACACTTCGAAAAATATCCTGAAAGTATTTTTTTAATTGTGTTCTACGGCATCGCGGTTATTACTTATTGGTAGTACAATAACGGGGGTTCCAGAACTGACGTTTCCAGGAAAAAATTCCCGAAGTTTTTTCTCAACGGTTTTATATGTATTTTGAACCGCTGAATCCGAATTTTCACTTTGCTAACACGCCAGAGGTGAGCTAACTGTGGCAGCCGCAAATAACCGCAAATTATTTGCGGCATTTATACATTTTCGCCTATAACTCAAAAACGGCATGTTTTAAAAGAAAAACTATTCTATACAAAATTGTAGTCCACAAAATTTTATACATTTAACATATAACAACCAAATCTGTAGGACCAATCAGACCACCACCAGCGGCGGCGCCAAAACGGCTACTTTTCGTGCAACTTATAGAAAATGCAAAAATAGTGCTCCGACATATCTATTTAATATAATTTTTCATTTCTTATCAAGTGGTGATATTGGTTTTTCATTTACATGGACTTTTTTGACTTTGAAAAGTCACATGTACTAAGGCTAACCACAAAAGCGGCAAAAGCATTAAAGTGAAAAGAAACAACAAACAAGTGAGTAGTTGAATTTCACTAAAATTCAACGTACAATCACAATATCCGATTGAAAATAATCTCATTGGCACCGTTGCCGGAGTTTGGCATTTGAGGGGGGGAGGGGGGGGGGGAACTGGATTTATCCTTTATGGTACTCTAATGAAAGGTTTCAACCAAAGGAATTAATTTCTACCAACGATAGTCCTCTTCCTCGACCTCTTATCGTGCTCGGATGTGAATAATTCTTATATCTCAACAACATATTCAATTAGTTTATTTATGTTTTTTTATTGACAGGGGGCTCAGGATGACCTTTCGCACCCCGGCGCAGAATATGCCTAAGAGGGCCCTGAGAGAGTAATTTAATTTCGCATAGAATTAGTTGAAAATGTCACACATGAATAAAAAACGTATAAATTGTACACAACTCTTGTGCAGCTAAAGTGCATTTTTTTAAAGTGAAATAGCTTAGTAAATGGGTGGGTTACTTTCTTGGTAGATGATTAATGGGGAGGATGCTCTTTACACCTAAACTTTGGGGAGGATGCTCTTTACACCCTTTTTATTTAGACGGAGAGCTGGCGACATATTTCACTAAGCGTCTCTTATATGGCTCAAAATTCGCTGAGCGATAGGTATGGGGTTCGTCTCAAGTAACCCGTGAGTCTGCCAACCCAAAGCCGTTGTGTTCAAGCACCTGGCTCAGGTGAAAATCGCGATTTTTCAAGTCATCGTTATATGGTCTGTTCCAACTCAGATTTGCTCGACTGTTCTATTAAATTGTTGCTTTAAACAGGCAGACACGTAGGTTGTTGTTAACATGGTGGCAGAATTAATAATAATGATTTTTTTAATAAATATTTTCAAGTCATAGTTTTACGTCTGCCAATTTTGTTTTCATAAAGTACAATGTCGCCCTACAACACATGTAAAAGGGCAGATTGAAATTCCGTTGCAAACACCTCGAAAATAATTAATAAAGTTCCGTAAAATTGTACCAAAGTCGGGCCAGCGCGGGCGGTGGCGGGATGGGGGTTCCACGAAACGACGGGACTGGCCGAGTGGAGGAGATCCAGCTGTGCGGCAACAGTCTACCGTGGGTTTGTAGTAGCCAAAGCTCGGACGTTTCCGTCTCGGCTCGTTCGTGTGTGTAAGACTTTGGTACAATTTTACGGAACTTTATTAATTATTTTCGAGGTGTTTGCAACGGAATTTCAATCTGCCCTTTTACATGTGTTGTAGGGCGACATTGTACTTTATGAAAACAAAATTGGCAGACGTAAAACTATGACTTGAAAATATTTAATAAAATAATCATTATTATTAATTCTGCCACCATGTTAACAACAACCTACGTGTCTGCCTGTTTAAAGTAACAATTTAATAGAACAGTCGAGCAGATCTGAGTTGGAACAGACCATATAACAATGACTTGAAAAATCGCGATTTTTACCTGGGTCAGGTGCTTGAACGCAACGGCTTTGGGCTGGCAGACTCACGGGTTACTTGAGACGAACCCCGTATCTAGCGCTCAGCGACTTTTGAGCCATATAAGAGACGCTTAGTGAAATATGTCGCCAGCTCTTAGACTATTTAAAGACCACCTGGTATAAATTCGAAATCCTCCGACACTCCATTCTGCAAATATTTGCACTGAAAGCTTTGACATCACCAATAGATATGTGCCCTCCTGACGTTACACTTGCCTTGTATGAGTACACTCTTTCGACACTTCGTGGTCAAGGTATTTGCTTCGACTTCACCAATAGGTATGTCTCGCCCAGTTGATTCATTTTGCCTTGGAGGATACTTTCCTCCGACAGACCGCTTTCGAGACATTCGCTCTTAAAGTTTTGACATCACCAATAGATATATTTCTTCCAGACGCGTCCCAATCGCCCTTTTTTAATTCTTAATAAAATGCACAACAAATTAACGATTAATACTTAATTAATTTGATCATTAAATGACTTCTCCTCGGACTTCTTCTTCCCTGAGATGGTGTTTTTGAAAGTAAAACGTGCGTGTTTTCGAGATCAAAGGTGACGGGGCGTTATCTTTCTTGGAGGTCTCAACGAAAGGAACCGTTTTCCACCCACTACCGACCTCCTACCATCCACAGACCACGAACCAGCTCCATCCACAGACCCACAACCAGGTCCATCCACAGACTCACAGCCGGGTCCTTACGAAGACCCTCAGACTGGCCCGTCCCGAGTCAAGAGAAGAAAGAAGGTGTAGTAAAGTGATGAAAAAGGAAGGAGTAGAGTGTTATTTGGTAAAACGAGGAAAGAGACGAAGGAAAGATGGGGGAAATAAAAGAGTGGAAATTATTTTAGATGTAGACTTTTTTCAATTTTACTATCATTTCTTAAACAATAAAAAAAGCTTTTGAGTATTTCCATTTTATATTTGTGTCTATCAATTCATTTCGTCAACCATTAAATATAGGTTGGTAACGCTGAACTGCGGTAATCGCAGCAATGCCAAACTGCGGTTGTGCAACTGCGGTAGCGGTGCCAATGAGATTATTTTCAATCGGATATTCTGATTGTATGTACGTTGAATTTTAGTGAAATTCAACTACTCACTTAGTTTGTTGTTTTTTTTTCACTTTGATGATTTTGCCTCATTTGCGGCTTTTGCGGTTAGCACATGTGACTTTTCAAAGTCAAAAAAGTCCATGTAAACGAAAAACCAATACCACCACTTGATAAGAAATGAAAAATTATATTAAATAGATATGTCGGAGCACTATTTTTGCATTTTCCAAAAGTTGCACGAAAAGTAACCGTTTTGGCGCGGCCGCTGGCGGCGGTCTGGTTGGTCCTACAGATTTGGTTGTTACATGTTAAATGTATAACATTTTGTGGACTACAATTTTGTATAGAATAGTTTTTCTTTAAAAACTTATCGTTTTTAAGTTATAGGCGAAAATGTAAAAATGCCGCAAATAATTTGCGGTTATTGCGGCTGCCGCAGTTAGCTCACCTCTGGCGTGTTAGCAAAGTGAAAATTCGGATTCAGCGGTTCAAAATACATATAAAACCGTTGAGAAAAAAACTTCGGGAATTTTTTCTTGAGAAAATCCTCATATGATTGAGCTATAGCCGTTACTGTTTATAGTTTTACGACAGTTTTTATAATAAATCCAATCAGTCTAATATATACAGCGTGAGGTTTTTTTGTCACTTTCACTATGAGGATCTCGTAAACCGTAAAAGATTACGAAAAAGAGATTAAATTATTTATCTCTGATGAGTATTGAAAATGATGTTTTTCACGTGTATAATATACTCTGTAACTTATATCATATATAGATAATAAATCTGTGGAATATTAGGCGGAATATTTGTTTTTGTATAAAAATATTTTTATTGGGAGTGAAAGGGGCCTCCACGAACAAATGGCCCAAGGCCACGAAACACTTAAAAACGGCACTGAGTCCGACACTGGAAGGGTAATTAGGAGACGTAGGTAAACTTTAAACAAAATTTATATTTATATATAATAATTTAATATAATTTAAAATTTCGCATTAATTCGTTAATTAGCACGATTCACCACTGCGACGCATAATGAATTTCAAATTCGTCCGC